TGCTGTAATGCAGGCAGATGTCCGCTGGGACGGGTTGGAGAAGCCAAACATCTTTAGTTGAGCAAAATACAACGAAAAAAGAAAGTCGGGTCATTGATATGCCTATCAGGAACATCCAGAGTCGTTATAGCTGCTAATTGCTTGACAAGCTCAGGCAGACATGAATACAGCCCAGCTACCGAAGCCAGTGGCAGCGATGTGGTTTGCGCTCTGACTCCCCAGCCCCCCCAAACCCAGGTTTATAGTTACAGCAGGGCTTCCCTCTGAGTGTGAAAGTTATTACAGCCGGAGACCTTGCCTCTTCCTTTGCAGCCTTTGGTGTTGCCCAGTGGCAGAGGAGAATATGGGGCTGGATGGTGAAGCCAGGTACCTCGTGCCAGGGCATCCTTAGGGCACATTACAGGCTGCTCTGTGGCAGTAGGAGCCAGCGCTGGAGGGTTCAGCATGCTCTGCCTGCCCAAAAACTGCACCAGAGCCCTAAGTTCACTCACAAGGCTGCTCCAGACTTGTCTGACCTGCTCTCAGACCCACCAGAGACCAAGGGTTTGAAAGCAGGCCCTGGGAATGAGTCCAGCGCCATCTCACAGGTGAGCTTCTGGCTCTGCAGTGAAGCATCAGTAGCGGTGGATATGCCCAGGCTGGGACAAGCAGCTGCCACGAGCCCTAAGAGAGTCCACACAGGACGGCAGCATGAGGTCTCGGGGCATGACAAACCGATAGCTTTGCTTCCTGATTTCCCTGTGGGGACGCACCCACCAGTGTGGAAACACCCCTGAGAGGAGAATCCAGCCCTAGGGTGTTGCACAAACCCCAGAACAAACGGGCAAGACACATTTATTCAAGAAAGGAAGGAGGAACACAGGTCACCCTTCGACCGAAGTCAACTCCCTCGTATTTGCCGAATGAATCATCTACTGAGTATCTATCCCTCTGCCTTATCTCACACGGCCACTGAACTCTGACTTTTTCCTAGATCGCTTATCCGCTCCCTTTATGGCTCAGAGTTTGTAAGGGGATCTTATCTCCTCTTTCCTCCCCGAGCCACCGTCCACCGTTTTCACGGAGCCTCGGCACAAGGCACATTTGCACGTCGCTCAGCAGCAGCAGCAGCAGCAGCAGCAGCAGGACATCAAAATACATCGGGTTTGTCTGATGTTCTGTTCCCGCTGAGCTTCAGATCAGGAAAATGACACCGTCGCTGACATTTCAGCCTCAAGGACCGCAGGGCTCGTTTGCTGGGTAAAGTCTGCTTCGGTGGGGCTTTCACGCCCGCTGAAAGCATCCGGAGAGCTGCTGCCTGTATTCATTCAAAGGAAATCTCTTCCAGGCCGCTAAAGAAATTAAAGCGGGCGTCCTTTAAAAAGCCAGGACAATGCAACAAGTCAAGCTGCTATACGCCTTTCTTGCCTATGCAGGACTTGCACAGCCTGAAATTAGGCGTCTTTTTGCATGCCTAGACATTACCCTGCACATAATCATGCTACGACGTCCCTTTGATTGTCACAGCTGACTCGGGTCCTGAATTAGCCTGCACCCCCGGAGCATGACAGGAGAAGGTGGTGGTGAGGCCTTCAAGCTGACATTTTCACTTCTCGTAGTTAATTTTAAGAGTTTATCATAACTCTCTTGCATGAGTAGATCCCCAAGTGCTTGATGGAGGCAGTCGGTATTAGTATGCCCATTTTACAGATGGGAAAACCGAGGCACAGAAAGGGGACGTGACTCGTCTGAGGTCACCAGCAGAGCTGGGAGTGGTATCCAGGCCTGGTGAGGCACAGTCCCAAGACTGCACACACTTGCCTCCTACTTAATGGGATGCTCCCACTCAATATCCAGGAGGCTGTTCTTAGAGGTGCCCTAAAAGGACGGTGCCGGTTGCAACTTCCCCGGTTCTCATGGATGTAACCGGAACCCATCCTCAACCGAGGCAGCCGTCCTGGGCCCTAATAACTTGCCCCTAACATCCGTAGGGCTTGCGACTGCCAGAAGAGATTTACTGTTAAAAGTTTCTCCCTGTCCCAGATTTTGGGGGCTGAGGGGAGCTTCTCAAATCAAGCCCGTAGCTTCTCAAATTAATCCCAGTGCTTAGAGTCCGCATCCTAGGGCAGGGACCCTGTCGAACTCGCCCGTCTCCTTCCCGGTCTGCAAGGAGGAAAGGGGTTGCTGGCAAGCCAGGCCTCGCAGCAGTTTGATGCCGTCTGCTGGGCTGGGGCTCTGCATTTTCAGGCCTGCGACGCCCCCTCCACCTGGGGCAGCCGGGGCGGAGGAGGCAGGTGCAGGGCTGTGGATCTGCTCTGCCCGGAGGGTCCCTGCGGGCTCGGGTGTCACGAGGGGGGATGGCAAAGATGCCCGCGGCACCACGCGCTCCAGCCCCCGGAGCCAGAGGAGACCCAGCCCGGCTGGACGTGGGGTCCCGGTGCGACCCTCGGAGCCAGCCCACGGAGGCAGAGTTGGCCACCCCTGGTGCAGCCCCCTGTGCCTCAGTTTCCCCTCTCCTGCTGCCTCTGTTTGCTCCTCAGCCCCTGGGGCAGGGGCTGGTTGGTCTTGCTCCCTGCCCCGGGGGCCCCAGCCCCGCAGCTCCCC